CAGGTTAGTGCAGTAGTTAGCAGGTTAGTGCAGTAGTTAACAGGTTAGTGCAGTAGTTAACAGGTTAGTGCAGTAGTTACCAGGTTGGTGCAGTAGTTAACAGGTTGTTGCAGTAGTTACCAGGTTAGTGCAGTAGTTAGCAGGTTAGTGCAGTAGTTAACAGGTTACTGCAGTATTCAGCAGGTTAGTGCAGTAGTTAGCAGGTTAGTGCAGTAGTTAACAGGTTACTGCAGTATTCAGCAGGTTAGTGCAGTAGTTAGCAGGTTAGTGCAGTAGTTAGCAGGTTACTGCAGTATTCAGCAGGTTAGTGCAGTAGTTAGCAGGTTAGTGCAGTAGTTAGCAGGTTACTGCAGTATTCAGCAGGTTAGTGCAGTAACAGGTTAGTCCTCAACACCCCCTCCCCCAGGCACTACGCCATCGAGTTCCCCGCGGGACAGTCAGAGTTTGCGCTGGCGCGGCGGCTGCGCTGCTCTCCCATATACAGCGAGCAGGAGGCCCTGGGTGCTGTCTTCGGGGCCAGGATGGGCTTCGAGAGGCCCCTCTATTTCGACCCACACCATAAAAGTATTTCACCAAAATAATAAAAAATAGAAGTATTTTTAAATAAAGTATTTAAAGGTATTTCGATAAAAAAGTAACGAAATAAAAGTATTTCGACCATAATAATTCACAGAAGACCTGCACCATAAAAGTATTTAGACAATAATATCAGTACTGATATTATTACTTCAGTGAGAACTGATCAGTGTGATATTAGTATCTGTGAGTATTGATCTAATTAGCGCATTTTCTCATTTATGGAAAAAATACCTTATTGTGCTCGTCATGTCCGTCCATCAGTTTGTCCGTCTGTCTGTCCGTCCGTCCGTGACTTCACGTACGGACGAGAAAATGCGCTCTCTGTCACTCACTGCAGCGAGTACTGAGTTATATTTTTAATCCTAATAATTTGTATATCAGGAGGTGACCCGCCAGCGCAGATGCCGGCTGGGACGTTCCGTAAGCCCGCCTTCCTGGACGCTGTAAGGGAGGAGTACATCGCGTGCAGGGAGTGCGTCGGACTCATCGACCTCTCGTCCTTCACTAAAATTGACATTACGGTGCGTAATTATTCGTTAATATCCACAAAATATTCTACTTATATCCACAAAATATTCTACTTATATCCACAAAATATTCTACTTATATCCACAAAATATTCTACTTATAGCTATGAATGTTTAACACATATGCAAGAATTGTTCAATCTACAAGCCTAAAATATTCAAGCCAAATCCAAGAATTATTCAACCTATATCCATAAAATATTCAAACCATATTCAAGAACTAATAAACTTATATCTTTATAATGTTAATTAATATAGGTTAGAAATCTAATTAAATTAATTATATTTTTTAATTATATTGTTATAGTCAAAATTAATAATTAATAGAGGATTAATTATTAATCCTCTCGTCATTCCACAAAATATACATCACGGTGAACAATTCTTCGTAAATAACCAGAAAACATTAAATTTGTATGCAAGAAATATTCAACCAAGATAAAAAACAAATATTCAAGCTACATACGAAAACTATTGCCAGTCCTTTTCACTAGACATAATGGTGAGAAATTATTTTCTTTTCATAATATCTACTCATATTCATTACTCAACCAGTTGTGTGGTGACAGTTAACCTGTTGAAACATACTAATCAATATGTTGTAACCTTGCTAAGCGTTGCGGGACCAGTTATTTAGGTTTGATCAGAGTGCTGTAGTCGTAAAAAGTAGAGAGTTGTAAATTATTGTCAACATGACAAAAGTAAAATTACTGTGAAAAAATGTAGCTCAGTACTCATTGCAGTGAGTGACAGTGAGCGCATTTTCTCGTCGACGAAAACTTGAGGTCACGGACGGACGGACAGACAGACGGACGGACGGACATGGCGAGCACAATAGTGCATTTTTTCCATAAATGAGAAAATGCGCTAAAAAGAAGTGCGGACTGTGAAGAAGAGCGTGGCATTATGATACGTTCAAGATGGTAATACAACGTCTAAAAAAATTGAACATGTATGAGGTTTTGTTCAACGCAGCCTTCATTTTATTAATTTAAAGACAGTTATAGATTATAAACTCTAGGTTATGCGACCGTGAGCAGGAGACGGGATTGCATATTTATTGAGGCTATTGACATTTTGTTTATTAGTTCCGTTATTTGAAATATTTGGCACAAACTATACGAAAGATAATATATACACTGAGAATATATCGCACTCTGATGAGTAATGTACCTGGTAATGCATGAGTTTGTGACACCTTGAAGGTTTCCTCCTCTAATAAGTAAATTTCTAACATTTTCTAAAAATTCATAATCCCTTAGCTAGTATTTAGGGTAAAGAATTATTCTTCTATTTGTTTTCTTTTGTAAAAGGAAGATTTGTTGGTAAGTTATAAACTGTGTAAGTACGAAATGATGAAATTCTCTTGGGAATCTTTCTGCGTGAATTCTTCAGTAATGTCAAGATATTCTATCTTTAAATTGTGTAATTATTCGTCTCGTCTTGGAATTTTTCTGTAAATCCTTGGTCGTGAATTATCAATTTACAATTTGATGGGAATTTGAGTTTATGTTTTGAATGAAAATATTCACAAAATTTCACTCACGAAAATGTGCAATGTTGGTGAAATCACTGGTCGCTCTATTGCAAAAATTCTCACGAAATTGTGTGTCTACTTTCTCTTCCTATTAATTAGTTGTGTGTCTACTTTCTCTTCATTTTAGTTCACTTCCTAATAGCCATAGCTCAATTTGAAAATAATTGATTTTCTTTGTCGAAAAACCCATGATGAACGTGGAATGATCGACGTTCTCGCGTTGAGTGTGCTTGTTAATGAGATGGCGTTGCAGTGAGTGTGCTTGTTAATGAGATGGCGTTGCAGTGAGTGTGCTTGTTAATGAGATGGCGTTGCATTTAGCGTGCTTGTTAATGAGATGGCGGTGCAGTGATCGTGCTTGTTAATGAGATGGCGCTGTAATGACCATTCTTATCAGTGAGATGGCGTTATAATGATCACACTAACGTCACACTAACGCTCGTCACGCTGCAGAGTGTTGGTGATCACTCTGAGGCTGACCTGGACTCGCCCCAACGCGTGGTTGTGAGTTCGCTGCTCAGTCAAATTTTTGTCCTTATTCCTTATTTTGTCCACCCGGGCTAATGACGTTGGAACCAGGGTTTGTCGTTAAAAAAACGTTTATTATGTATTTATTTCATTTGAACGACGTTGAAACAACGTTGGTCGCGAAAAGAAAACTTTTATTGCGAATTAATTTAATTAAAACAACGTTGTGACAGGTTGATTTCGGCGAAAAACGTTTACTATGAATTGATTTGGATAAAACTACGTTGATTACAAATTTATTTCATTTGAACGACGTTAAAACAACGTTGGTCGTGAAAAGAAAATTTTTATTGTGAATTGATTTAATTAAAACAACGTTTGGACAGGTTGATTTCGGCGAAAAACGTTTACTATGAATTGATTTGGATGAAACTATGTTGATTACGTATTGATGTTGTTGAAAAAGTGTATAATCAAGGTTATTTCAACGTCTGTAGCCTAGTGGGAGGCCAGTTGTTCCCACACTGTGATATACCAAAACTTTGTGATATTGTCAAAATTTTCAGGAGTGCAATATATTTATCATTTTAGGGGCAATTTATCGAAGCTGGAAAATCTCTATTTTGTTCTAAATTTTCGGGGACTATGGAGAGGTGAACTTTATTTCGAGTTTCTATTCCGGAATATTCTTCTATTCACTGTTAACAATATGAGTTACTGGGGAAACATGCTAATTGTATCATGTTAAATTATACACATTAAAATGTATGGTTAATATTGTTTAAATAGTGACACACTTTCTTAACGTAGCAATAATAAATAATAAACGTTCCTTTAGCCCACACGAGGCTAAAATTGGTACAAAGTCCCGCTCATTTAAGTGAGTGTAGGTCGACGGAGGTGACACAGTTTGGGAACCGCTGGCAGAGTCATAATTCCCATTCCTGATCTGAGCTCCAGCGGTAATTGGTTCCCGTTCCTGGTGCCAGCTTCGTCCTTGTTGCATCGCTTCCATGTTCGCAATAATTCCGAAATGTTATCCATGTTTAGGCATGAACTCTTCTCTCTCTTTTAAATTACCATGAGTTATTTTTTATTCGGGGACTCGAGGAATTTTTTACCTTTTTGGTTCTTATTTTTTCAATATTGGGCTATTAATGTTTTCTCTTTTTTATTTAGTTTATTTACCATTTATTATGTAGATGATTCATTCCTATATTAAGACTCTTCAATTTACTATTTTTCGTTGCAGTCCCTCAGAAAACTTGCAACATAATTTCCTCCTTAACAAAAAAAATTCCGATTAAGAATCATTTTCTTTGAACTTCAATTGTTTTTTGGCCATATTTTTTTAGGGATTTTTCACAAAAAAAATCAATTGAATTTGCTTGCCTTCTTTTATCATGTGTCAAAGACCTTATTATTCAGATTACCTAATTCACAGCTTTATCTCCATTCCCTGGTTGCATTACAATTTTATGAATTAATACTATAACCTCCTCCTCTTTCCTGAATTATTTTCATTCATCTTTGATTTCTTTATCATCCTAATCGTCTCAACTTTTTCAGCAGCAGTGCAAAAGATAATTCTGCACAAAGTTATGCTTTAATAATTATCCCTCAAACCTCTTCTTAATTTTAGTTAAGTTCTGATTACAATCAATTATTAAAATTTGTTTAATTGTTTCTAAATATTACAATACATTTCCAGGTAAGTTGTCCAATAGGAAGGATTTTTACCGTTATTCGGGATGCCTTTAATGGTCTAATTGGTTCTGTTATTAACAGCTTTATTCTCAGTGATCTCTCGGCCTTTATGTATATAATCTTGTTGCTGCTATGTAATATATTTGTTTACATGTTTCCATCAATTTCAATATCGCTTTTGCTTGTGCTGCTATTTATAGCTGTAGATATTGCTGCTGTTTTTGTTGTTCATATCTATTGATATGGCTGCTGTTGTTCATCTCTGTTGACATGGCTGCTGTTGTTCATATTCTTATCTGTTGACATGACTACTGTTGTTAATATTCTTATCCGTTGCCATGGCTGCTGCTGTTCCCGTTGTCTGTTCAACAGTAGTTGATTTTCCCCACATTGAATTTAATGTGCGGTGCATGTTGCTTGAACATGACTGCTCATCGTGCATGATAAATTCACATGACAGTGAATTTTTTACAATAATATTACTCTGTATAGAAATATTTTTTCTCTTATTTTAATATTTCTTCTTATTTTAATATTACTTCTTGTATAATTATTATGACTTATTCTTAAATCTTTATTATCATTGCACTCATTTTTTTGTATCCAAACAGATACCAAAGTAATTCATCAATTTAATATTTTATAATATAAATTAATATTCAATATTGTACTGGTCACTAACTGTAAGTACGTGCTTGGCAGTAACTGTCAGTACGTGCTTGGCAGTAACTGTCAGTACGTGCTTGGCAGTAACTGTCAGTACGTGCTTGGCAGTAACTGTCAGTACGTGCTTGGCAGTAACTGTAAGTATGTGCTTGGCAGTAACTGTCAGTACATGCTTGGCAGTAACTGTAAGTATGAAGGTACAACTCATTTTGTAAGTTGGTGATCAATGCTTACTTATATTACTTTAATAATTAGTGAATTTAATGTTTCTAACTAAAATGTTAGAATATTAATCATTTTAATTTTGTATAGTTTGCATAATTGATGTTCAGTTTAGACATGCTTTAGTATGTAGGACTCTAGCCGTTATCAGCTTGTTCCCTAGATCCTCTAGTCTCCCCCAGAGTTTTATGTATAAACAATCTTTTACTTCATTCATGTTTTCACGACATTCACAGTCGCAACATTCAATACACATTCATACTTACATGTTATTTATATTATCAGTGATAGGGTATTTCATGCTTAAAGACTCACTCAATATTATAATTGCCAGTAAAATTCAAAGGAGACAACTATTTTTAAGGCCTCAAATATGAATAATTTAATCAAAATCTTTATTTTTGGTTTGTATCTAATTTGTATTAATATATTTACATATCTCAGCACATTTATTTAGTTCAGGTTGAGCAATTTTTATAATCATGTTAAAAAAGTTTAATATGTACTTTGATGAATATGATAGAAAAATTCTATTTTTGGCTTATTTAAAGAGAAAATTTTTGAAGCTTCATGTAAATTTTTTAACAATTTTCTTGCTTGATCAGACTTGATTATAGATTATAGACTTAATTATTAATTATAGATTATATTAATTATAGATTCGTGACCATTATCCTTCAACTTGATTCAGGCCGAGACATGGCAGACATTTTTATTGTAATTATGACTTCCAAGATAATTTGTAAATTAGAATATGTGTTACTATTTTAGTTTAAAGTTTAAATTTTTATTTTAGTAGGTATACACATTTATTTCTCAATTTTTTTATTGATTCACATGATTCTCCTAGAAATTATACATCCAGTTAATGAATATTTGTTCATTTGAGTTTCTGCGAACCACGCCTCACCACCCAATGAAGAAACTTCCCATACAAAAAATCACAATCATTCACTATTTTTTCATTTAAAAAGTTTAATTTTCACCATCAGGTCGAACAAATGTAGAACCAATTCACTTGTTAATGATCCTCACAATGAATTAACAACCCAACGAATCTCAATGACTCTCTAATTAAACAAGTCAGAACCACCCCTCAGGCTTATTCATCTGAATCACCACTCAGAGTTATTAACATAAGTACCTATCGCCCATCTAATCTATTATGCCAGAATCACCTTTGCGATTTAATACACTGAAGCAGTTCCCTAGATTTAATACACTGAAGTAGTTCCCTAGATTTAATACACTGAAGCAGTTCCCTAGATTTAATACACTGAAGTAGTTCCCTAGATTTAATACACTGAAGCAGCTCCTGAGATTTAATACACTGAAGCAGCTCCTGAGATTTAATACACTGAAACAATTCCTGAGATTTAATACACTGAAGCAGCTCCCGAGATTTAATACACTGAAACAACTCCTGAGATTTAATACACTGAAACAACTCCTGAGATTTAATACACTCGAATAAATCTTCAGATTTAATAGTTTGATCCTGTATCCTGATCAGGGTTCAGGCATGAGTCATCATCAAGAGTGGGAGGAGAAGGTAAAAAATCCTATTTTTGTTCACATTTTGTAGAGATTATTTTATTTCTAGTGGCTTCTGTGGACAGTTTATTCTGCTTGTAATTTGTTGTTGCTTATAAAAATTATTGATGGTTTACTTTATTTGGATTCTTCATTTTCTTGATGTTTAAGTTTGGGTATCTAATCATTATATATGGTAAATGATGGGCAAAGTGAAGTTGATGTATAACATTATTTGTTAACTCATATATACAAATTGACAACAAAATCACAAACTCATAATTGGAATGCAAATTCAGTGGAAACAAAAATGTTAAAACATAATGGCAATTTATCTAAATTTTGAATTTATATTCCAAAGTGCCTTGCAATTTTACATGAAACTATTGCACAAAAAATGCATCTATATGGCTCACTTCAAAATAACTTTATTGCTTTCTATTTTTACCTTGACAATATCTCCTCTAATTTTCATTTAAATGATTAATAAACTAAACTTTTATCCCTATAATTCAATACTTTATTAAAATATTTTTAATTTTAAACTATTAGCTTTATCACTACTTCAGGTAATAATATATTTGTAAATATGGGGACATTTTTGTCAGCTAGACCAAAGTGCATGTAACTTTGCATGAATATTTTCCTGTTGAATATTTGTTTCATGAAACTTATGAATAATTTTCTTCATCCCTTTTATAGACCCCCATGCTTTAGCTTACTCCCTCAGCTTAACTTCCTCTTTTAACAATGACTTCTTATGAGTCTTGGTTGCTTTTTAATAATGACTTATTAGTATTAAATCATGACATCGTTTTAACATTGACTTTTTAGATTTGTGTCATAGCAAATATTTAACAATGAGTGTTGATAGCTTTTGAACTGTTTGACAGGGAACTGTTGCTCTCAAGCTGTATTCAAATTGTTATTCTGAGCAGTTATATAACAGTTGCTTTCAAACTGTTATTCTGAGCTGTTAACAGTTGCTTTCAAACTGTTATTCTGAGCAGTTAACAGTTGCTTTCAAACTGTTATTCTGAGCAGTTAACAGTTGCTTTCAAACTGCTGCTCTCAACCATCTCTATGAATGGCAACGTTTTCTGCCCTCCAAAAACACTTCACTATTAATAATTTATTCATTAATTTGTTTTTTCTGTGGGGCAAATAAACTATTGAATTGTAAACCTTTGCAATTAAATTTCATGTAAACCTTTACTTAGTTAACTGCATGGACTGTGACAACTGTCTGCTCTGCTTTTGATTATCAGCAAAACTACACAAATATTATACAGTTCAGTTTTGGGTGTGGTAATATTTGTATTGATGCTTGGTGTATATGTATATTTTTCTCTGGTATAGATGCTTGGTGTATAACTGTATTTTTATCTTTGTATAGATGCTTGGTTTATTACTGTATCTCTATCTTTGTGTAGATGTTTGGTGTTTAACTTTGTCTTTATCTTTATCCCTTGTATAGATGCTTGGTGTATAACTGTTCTTTATCCCTTGTAACCCCAACCCCGTCCTTGTAACCCCCAACCCCGTCTTTGTAACCCACAACCCCGTCTCTAACCCCACTCTTGCCCCTTATAACCCCATCCCCATGTAACCCCCGTCCCTATAACCCCCAACCCCGTCTCTGTAATCCCAACCCCATCCTCATGTAAATACACTCTTGCCCCTTATAACCCCATCGTCATGTAAGCCCCGTCCCTGTAACCCCAACCCTGTCCCTGTAACCCCAACCCCGTCCCTGTAACCCCAACCCCGTCCCTGTAGCCCCCAAACCCCGTCCGTGTAACCCCACTCTCCCCCCTTATTACCCCATCCCCATGTAACCCCTGTCTCCGTAACCCCACTCACCCGTCTCTGTAACCCCCTCTCACCCCTTATCACCCCATCCCCTTATAACCCCCCGTGCCCCCAGTCGTCAGGGGACGAGGTGGTGGGGTACCTGCAGAAGCTGTGCAGCAACGACGTCGACGTGCCCGTGGGCGGCGTCGTGCACACGGGCATGCAGAACGAGCACGGCGGCTACGAGAACGACTGTCTGCTCATCAGACGAGCAGCCAACAGGTACGAGCACGGCGGCTACGAGAACGACTGCCTCCTCATCAGACGAGCAGCCAACAGGTACGAGCACGACGCGTTCATCCTGAAAATATATTTCTTCTTTAAGTTATCGAATAAAACCAATAAGATTGCGCTTCAATCTGGCCTATGTCCTAGAAACACATTTTAAGGTTATTTGTCTTATTCTCAGCCAATTGTTATAACCGCACGAAATAACATCATTGTCATTTTTTTCTGTCGGTTTGATGGTTTTGTTTATTTGTGAAATGATGGTGTAATTTACGAAGTGATTTCCCGTATAATTTTTTGCACAGATACCTGATGCTCGCACCAACCATCCAGCAGACCAGGGTTATGGACTGGCTGGTGCGACAGGTAAGAATTCCTTTGCGTTATTTTATATCAAACTTTACTTCTATGAGGTAATAAAAAATTAATATATTAATATAAAAAATTAATATATTAGCCTAAAAACAATAGTGTCTCGATATGTTAATAATCGCTGTACATACTAAGTATCGCGGTTCTTAATAATCATCGTGGCTGATATAATGATAGTATAGGTTAATATATAGCAAACATATGATTAACGCTGAGATTCGTGCACGCTAGTTAAAAGTCAGAACTCCTGACGATCATTTCCTTAACTCCATTAAAAATGGAGATTAGAAAATATTAGAAAATATCTTTTCTAATAGGTATTCCATCAGTTTAATCCGTACAATTTTGGAAAAATATTCAGACCATGAAGTTATTTTACATACCTAATAAACATAAATGAAAATACGAGTAATGGTGCACACGAATTAATATATAACGAAAATATGAGGAATGGTACATACGTGTTTACATGTGACGTGTGACGATTTTAGTACAGGCAAACCCCAGCACCAATGTGGTTTGTCTGACTATTATGTAATTTACTTATAAATCAACTGTATAGGTATAGTTTTATGTGATTTCTAATTTATATAATGAAATTACAAGTTAAGGCGACATTAGTGCAGGTAAGTATTGACACCAATGTGGCCTTTCCTGCTGACTTATTGTAGTAATATTCCATTGATTGTATGTAATTATTTCTATTTATTCTATTTATTTCTAAAAAAGCATATAGTGCAGGACAGCCTCGCAATATATATTTTGTACAGATCAGCCTCGCACTCCGTTCCAGACCTAATATTCCATTAATTGTATGTAATTATTTTTATTTGTACTATTTATGTATAAAATAACTCATAATGACGACATTGGTGCAGGTCAGCCCCAGCACCAACGTTGCACTGTCAGAAATATTGTATAATATTCCATTAAATTCTACGTACTTCTTTATTTGTATTATATATTTCTAAAATAACTCATAATGGCGACATTGGTACAGGTGAGCCCCGGCACCAACGTCGCAGTGTCAGACATCACGTCGATGTTCACGGTGCTGTCCGTGGTGGGGCCAAAGTCCCGCGACCTGCTCACGCTGCTGTCCAACGCTGACCTCAACTTCTTTGGCCTCATGGCTAAAGTGGGTGCCTTATTCTTAATTTATATTTAACTATGGTCTGTGTATTTAAGTTAATTAAGTAGCATTAAGCTGTAGTATGCTTTAATAATAATAATACATGGTGCTTAATCAACTTCTTTGGTCTCATGGCTAAAGTGGGTGCCTTATACTTATTGGATATTTAAGTGGGTGGCTTCTACTTAATGGATATTTAAGTGGGTGGCTTCTTCTTAATGGATATTTAAGTGGGTGGCTTATTCTTAATGGATATTTAAGTGGGTGGCTTCTACTTAATTCATATTTAACTATGGGATGCGTATTCAAGTTCATTAAGTAGCATTAAGCTGTGGTATGCTAATAACTTAATACATGGTGTGGTCTCCAACTTAATTAATATTTATGTGTGGTATTGATTTGAACATAATGGACATTTAGCTATGGTGCTCTTCTTCAATTTGATTAAGCTATTGCTTGCGTCTTCAACTTAATTAACATTAAGCAATGATGTTTATCTTCATAGTAATTGGTTAAAGATTTGCTTAGTTTCTGGTCTTCAACTGACTACGTAAGAATTAATATTTCGAAACCTCAATTACCTGACGTTTTGTTAAAGGCGCTGGTAACATTAACTCAATTGACATTTTGAAGAAGCGAATTTTTAAATTAATGAGTTAGCAATATAATAAGTTGCGAGTTCAGTTTGAAACTTGTTTCAACAGGCATTCTCAGTTCATGTGCATTGGAAATGCAACTGGAAAGTTCGATTCATCAGTTTAGTTTCTCTCACGTATTTTTCACTAAAGGTTAATTATAGTATTTTTATTGTAGGTACACTATTGTACGTTGTATCATTTTAATGCATTAATTAATATTTCGTTAGTATTTGAAAATATTTTATTCACTGAAACGAAATTCCACAGTTTTTTATTCTCAAATATATTATTTATTATTATTATGTTCAAACGCAGGAGATTCATCTGGGCTACGCATCCGACGTACTAATACTGTCATTCACCCACATGGGGGAACCTGGGTACACACTCATCATACCGTCTGAGTACACCCTACACATCTACAACCAAATACTCAAGGTGAGATGGGTACACACTCATCANTCACGGTGAAATAACTTTGTTTCACGGTGAAATAACTTTGTTTCACGGTGAAATAACTTTGTTTCACGGTGAAATAACTTTGTTTCACGGTGAAATAACTTTGTTTCACGGTGAAATAACTTTGTTTCACGGTGAAATAACTTTGTTTCACGGTGAAATAACTTTGTTTCACGGTGAAATAACTTTGTTTCACGGTGAAATAACTTTGTTTCACGGTGAAATAACTTTGTTTCACGGTGAAATAACTTTGTTTCACGGTGAAATAACTTTGTTTCACGGTGAAATAACTTTGTTTCACGGTGAAATAACTTTGTTTCACGGTGAAATAACTTTGTTTCACGGTGAAATAACTTTGTTTCACGGTGAAATAACTTTGTTTCACGGTGAAATAACTTTGTTTCACGGTGAAATAACTTTGTTTCACGGTGAAATAACTTTGTTTCACGGTGAAATAACTTTGTTTCACGGTGAAATAACTTTGTTTCACGGTGAAATAACTTTGTTTCACGGTGAAATAACTTTGTTTCACGGTGAAATAACTTTGTTTCACGGTGAAATAACTTTGTTTCACGGTGAAATAACTTTGTTTCACGGTGAAATAACTTTGTTTCACGGTGAAATAACTTTGTTTCACGGTGAAATAACTTTGTTTCACGGTGAAATAACTTTGTTTCACGGTGAAATAACTTTGTTTCACGGTGAAATAACTTTGTTTCACGGTGAAATAACTTTGTTTCACGGTGAAATAACTTTGTTTCACGGTGAAATAACTTTGTTTCACGGTGAAATAACTTTGTTTCACGGTGAAATAACTTTGTTTCACGGTGAAATAACTTTGTTTCACGGTGAAATAACTTTGTTTCACGGTGAAATAACTTTGTTTCACGGTGAAATACTAACTTTGTTTCACGGTGAAATAACTTTGTTTCATGGTGAAATAACTTTGTTTCACGGTGGAATAACTTTGTTTCACGGTAGAATAACTTTGTTTCACGGTGAAATAACTTTGTTTCACGGTGAAATATCTTTGTTTCACGGTAAAATTACGTCACATTGAAAAAGTTAAACATTGTTTCACATGAAATTACGTTACAATCACATTGAAATGACGTTATTTAACAGTAAAATAACGTGGATTAAACATTATTCCGCGTTGATGAAAAGTTGTTCCACGTTGTTTAAACGTTAATAAAATGTTTTTCCAACGAAATCAACTTCTGAACAACATTTTTTCAACGTCGTTTGCTCTGAATTAACAAACGACAACCTGACTATTTTCTTCTATAAAACTCAAGCCACCGCGTCGTTGAAACATTGATCAAACCACGTTGAAATAACATCGATCAAACCACGTTGATATAACATTGATGATGCGACGTTGAAATAACATTGAGCAAACGTTGTTCCAACGAAATTAACTCGTGATCATTGTTGTTTCGGAATCGTTTGCCTGTAGGACAGAACTTAATTTCGTTGCTGTGTTTATATGATATCCGTTTAATATCTCTTTTTGTATTAAGTTAATACGTGTTTATTAACTGCTTTATTATTTATTGAATTAACTTCTTCATTATACGGTAACTCAAGTTATATAATAAATATACATTAACAGAAGGACTATTAATAGTTTATTAATTTAAAATATCATATCCTCAAAATAGTTCCTTCGCGATGAAGGCTGCGGCAGTTTGATGCAATGTCATTTGGTAACAATTCTGCAATTTAATACGTACTTATTTTAATTCACGGAAATGCTACTTTGTGTGGGTTGCTTTATTTCAATTATAGTTTAGTAACTAACCATATCCTTTCTTCTTGTAATAATTTGTTGGTCTAATTTCTATACGAACAGAAGGGACTACCTTGTGGGGATCATTATAATTAAAAATTTATTTAATATATCTATATTAACAGAAGTACTCGTAATAATTCATTTAATTTATCTATATTAATAGATAGACTCCTTTCTAGGGATCATTATAATTTAATGAAAGTTTATTGAACACTTGTGGTAACAGTTTTACCTCGAATAATATGTTAATATAATATATGCAACAGAAAGATTACTTCGTGAAGATCATTATAATTTAATAATTCATTTAATATATCTATATTAAGAGAAGCAGCTGAAATAATATATTAACATAATATATACAACAGAAAGATTATAAAATAATATAATATATGCAACAGAAAGATTACTTCGTGGAGTTCATAATTTAATACCCTACGTAATTCTTTTAATATATCTATATCAAGAGAAGCACCTGGAATAATATATTACCATAATATACACAACAGAAAGATTATATAATAACATAATATACACAACAGAAAGATTACTTCGTGGGGAAGTTCGCGCTGCTGCGTCAGGCGCATCAGGGCGTCAAGAAACGTCTCGTGCACCTCACCCTTACGTCACACTTCGACCCTGACGTCGACGTCTGGCCCTGGGGCGGCGAGCCCATCTACAGGGACAACGTACACGTCGGCCACGTCACATCCACTGCGTCAGTATTGTTTTACTATATATTACAGTTATTTTACTACATATATAGTGCATTTATTTTACTATATATTACATTTATTTTACTGTTTACCGGTATTCCATTTATCTCTTGCCACAACGGCAGAAGTACTTTCCTATATATACCCTATACCTTCTTTATAATAAGTGTCGTATATATCTTACCACAGCAACAGGATTCCATTACGATATATGTCATATATCTCTTATATATTTAAACATTGTATGTTTGCCAGCATTTTTCAATTACTTCATTATCCTATATTTATGTATTAATGATGAACGCTATAAATAAATTAAATATCGATGACCAGGTTCGGGTTCACGCTGAACAAGATGGTGTGCGTGGGATTCGTGCGCCACGCAGGCGGGGACTTCGTGTCGCCAGACTACGTGACGGCTCCAGACGTGCGCTACGAGATCGATATCGCGGGACGACGTTTCCCCGTCCACGCGTCCCTCCAGCCGCCCAAGATCCCCATCGCCAGGATGGACGGCATAGCGACCTACCGCCCACGCGTCCGCGGCATTGTCAAATAAATACATCCATACAGACATCGTCATGCATCCATACAGACATTGTCAAATAAATACATCCATACAGACATCGTCAAATAAATACATCCATACAGACATTGTCAAATAAATACATCCATACAGACATCGTCAAATAAATACATCCATCGCCAGGATGGACGGCATAGCGACCTACCGTCCACGCGTCCGCGGTGTCGTCAAGTAAAGCTTCGCTGCAGCAAATTTCGTGTATCAAGTTAGTGAAGTTAACTTAATTATTCACTTTAAATCAAATTTGAAAACAAGATAAGTAAAGCTTCGCTGCAGCAACTTTTGTGGATTCCGCTATAAAAATTCCATTTATTTTCTTTGCGCAGTATTTAAAATTTAATTAGGAAGTACACTTATCATAAATTTTAGCCGGCCAACTCAATTGAGAAAAATAAATCACGGAATTTGTCCGGAAAAAATGACCGTCTGGCAACCCTGTTTAAAAACGGTAGAAAAAAATGAAATAATAGTACAAGATGAAGTAATCGGAATCAAAGTGTTAATTATCAAATTTGAAAACAAGATCTTCGCTGCGCCAACTTTTGTGGATCAAGTTTGTGAAGTTAACTTACTTATTCACTTTAAATATCAATTTGGAAAACAACATCTTCGCTGCAGCAACTTATGTGGATCAAGTTAGTGAAGTTAACTTATTAACTTTAAATATCAAATTTGAAAACAAGATAAGTAAATCTTCGCTGCGCCAACTTTTGTGGATCAAGTTTGTGAAGTTAACTTACTTATTCACTTTAAATATCAAATTTGAAAACAAGATAATTTGCGGTTCACGGCATTAACTAATATGGATCACATTTGTGATCAAGAGAGCAAAGTTAAACATACGAAACGTATGACGAAACGAAATACTTCACGGCATTAATTTTTGTAGATAAAAGTTTGTGAAGTTAAACTTATGAAACAAATTCACGGCATCATTCAAGAATGATGTCCATCATTTATAAGTGAGAATAAAACAACATTGATGTGAACACCTAAAAATATCCTACAAGTCTTGAATTGAAAACGTTTATTTGAAGTACTAAAATATTATGGAGTATACGTTTTTAGCAATCAATAGATTACATCACAACCGTTGTACGTGTAAATAGTGTAGATGACCAACAAAGATTATATAAAATGTTATATCTAAATAGTCTATTACATATATGGAAGAAAATGAGTTGAAATGATTATCATGATTATCGAAAATGATTATCGTTAAGAAATTTGCCTGCCATGTTGTTATCATCAATCAGCTTCAGGATTATTACATTTTTCTCAAATAATTTGCGCAGGTACGAAGAAATAAACACGTGATCAATTGGCAACACAAACTTTTATTGAAACAAAATGCGCTTAATCTTTCTTTAAAGACTTTCTCAGACACAAAATCACCGATAAACTGCAAAATGGAAGAATATGTGCTGCGTTATCATCTAAATAAGGGGTTTGTTGTCCATAAAGAACGACTATATAAGATATTAAATTGACTGATGAGCCTATAGTACTGTATAAATATAACAATGCTGTGAAATTGTAAACTAATTAAGACGTAAGCTCATAAATCCGCCGTTGTTGACTCGTAACTCTCAATTAATAAAGCGAGCGCCCAACCTTGTTCCTAAATAATTGGACTACATTTGGCATCATAAATAAATAAATTTCAGCTCTTCACTTAGCATTAGAGAGATCAATTCAGAACATTTTATGAGCTGTATTATGATGCCAGACATATTAAGTTATCTATGTGAGCTGTGAAGAAATTGTACGTTAAGTTTGTTGAAAAATATAACTCGATTACGTATAGCGATGTAAATAAGTCTGTTAATGCCAGACTTGCTTATAAATGAAAGTATTTACAGACCAAATGTAGATTGTACAGGAAACGTTATTGGCCGCGTGTACATGTGTGTGTAATCGCGCTCTTAAATCATTAAAATTATGTTGCTGAATAAATATGTGTTATACATCTTCCTTTTGCTCGCATCATTGATTTGGGAACAAAGGTCTTATTCAAAAATAAGATGTCTTATAAGCACGAGTGTAGCTACTACATTTATTATTTAAATATCATGAACGGGCTTGAATTTATTTTCAGTACAAGCAGACATAATCGATCAAACACTGCATTCAATTACCTTGTACAGTAACTTTAACAAATTAGATACACATTCGCAATAATTTTTAGAATTGTTTTAGAAGATGTAGGAAAACACACGGAAACGCACCTTAACTGCTTAATAACAATAATTGAACGAATTATGGCCACTGACCAACAGAAGTATATTCTAAAATCTAATCATCAGCTTGTAGCTCCGCTTGATAATTACCTTAACCACAACATCACCAAACCTGAGAAGCTGGCAAGCGTCCAGAGAATAGTTAGATAGAGATTTCTAACATCTGTAGCCAACATAGATAGCAGGGTTTACATATATTAGACCACAACATGAGTTTACCTGTCTCAATAGAAACGATGTGCTTTCTGTCATAAATAAAAATTCTTGATAATTAAATTTGTTTCCAGAATTATATATAAGTTTGCCTAAAAATGAAAGTGCATTGCTTATAGTTTAGAATAAGCCATAGGCCTGTTTATGGTTTGTAGTTATAAAAACAAAGGCAATGCACTGTAAACCACCCGAGTCGGGTCTATGGTCTGCAGTATTAATGACAGCACTCTGGGTCGGGTCTATGGTCTGCATTATTAAAGACAGCACTCTGGGTCGGGTCTATGGTCTGCCATATTAAAGACAGCACTCTGGGTCGGGTCTATGGTCTGCCATATTAAAGACAGCACTCTGGGTCGGGTTTATGGTCTGCCATATTAAAGACAGCACTCTGGGTCGGGTCTATGGTCTGCCATATTAAAGACAGCACTCTGGGTCGGGTCTATGGTCTGCATTATTAAAGACAGCACTCTGGGTCGGGTTTATGGTCTGCCATATTAAAGACAGCACTCTGGGTCGGGTCTATGGTCTGCCATATTAAAGACAGCACTCTGGGTCGGATCTACGGTCTGTAATAATTTTCCAAGCTCAACACAATCTTAAAATATTCCTACCTCAAGGACCTAAATTTTTAAATAATGTAAAACTCCATGACACTCTCATTGAACATCAACTGCCAAGTAATGATGAAAATGAAATAGCGAACGAAAATGCCTGTATACACCATAGTTAGAGGTCACTGAGGTCGACTGCATCAATATCATCAGCAAGTTCTTCATTGCCTTCGTCAGGTTTACTCTCATCAGCAGCAGCAGCAGGAGGAGGTCTTTTTTCTAGCTGCAGTTTCGCCCAGGTCCTCGCTTCATCCTTCCTGAGTTTGATCTCAACCTTCGTGGCAGCCAGAGTGACAGAACTCTGGGCCGGGTCTATGGTCTGTAGTAAGAAAAACTATTAGCAATGCACTATTAAGCAGTGGAATTCCTATGTTCTGTACGAAGAAAAACTATTAGCAATGCACTGTAAAGCAGTGGAATCAATGGTCTGTACGAAGAAAAACTATTAGCAATTCACTATTAAGCAGTGGAATCCCTATGTTCTGTACGTAGAAAAACTATTAGCAATGCACTGTTAAGCAGTGGAATCAATGGTCTGTACGAAGAAAAACTATTAGCAATGCACTGTAAAGCAGTGGAATCAATGGTTTGTACCAAGAAAACCAAAAGCAATGCACTGTAAACCACATGAGTTGAATAATGATACCTCTGCCTCTCATCAAGAAAATAATGGTTGGGTCGATACTGTAGTAAATATATGATTTCTTGACTTGCTTTGTGCTACATAGATAGTAACAATGTTGAACTTTACGGCACTATTTTTAGTTTTGCCATATTTTAATTAGTTTAGCTGCTAAAACCTTTCTACAAAATGCGGGACGCCTGTCCCGATTTACCCCACCCGTCCCTTATTACCCCATTTGACGGTAGTCTGCAATATTAATAACAGCAATCTGGGTCAGGTCTATGGTCTGTAATAAGAAAAACCATTGGCAATGCACAGTAAAGCAGTACTATGGTCTGTACTAAGAAAAACCATAATCCATATACGTACTACTATAAAATACTTGAGCAGGTTCTATGGTCTGCAATAAATAAAACCATAAACACTACGTACACTGTAAAACGTTATTCAGAAAAGCTAAGATTGCGCGGTCTAAATTCTGCACCCTCGCATCACTTAAGATTCTTTGATAAGATTCCCTCAAGATTCCAAGATTTTGCGGGCGGTGAAGTGAAAAATTTTTTTTTTGGTAAAACAGCATGCATTTAGAGAACTTTAATGAAATATGAGAATGGAATGCTAAAAATGTAATATTATTAACCAGATATTGCCCAATCCATAAGTTCGTTAAGAGCATCTCTATTGACTCCTTGGTGCTATTAATACTACTAGTGAGATATGTATATATACATACGCTGAAAATTTGAACGAATTAGATTTCTGTGGAGTTTACATATTATTTCTGCAAAATTGAATAAATTTTCTGTTTAAAATTATTTTTCACCAGACAAACGAGTAGCCATAATCATCACGGGCAGAGAAAGATGATATATATATTATACAATTACATTATAACATAAACATATAGATACATTATATACCAATTAATCCTATTTATTATTAAATCAATTAACCACATCAAGGTTGGAATGAAGTGAAATATTACGAAGACTGCACTCACTCCCTCAAGTTCCGAGTCGAGTTTCAAGACAAGGTTCTTAATTAATAATAATAACAAGACTGCACTCACTCCCTCGAGTTCCGTGTCGAGTTTGAAGACAAGGTTCTTAATTAATAATAATAACAAGACTGCACTCACTCCCTCGAGTTCCGTGTCGAGTTGGAAGACAAGGTTCTTAGAGTATCTGATGTAGGCGGAGAGTCTCACGGAGTTCACTGATATTGTAGTGTAGGCAGGCTCGACGTTCTTGGCGTAGATGGTCACGTAGACATGACTACTAGTCTGGTGCCAGTCGTAGCGGCAGTCAGAGCGACGACTTGTTGACTGTAAAATAATTCCAGTTTAGAAAAAAATATAACTCAGTTCTCACTACAGTGAGTGACAGAGAGCGCATTTTCTCGTCGACGAAAACGTGGTCACGGACGGACGGACAACAGACAGACACACAGACATGGCGAGCACAATAGTGCATTTTTTCCATAAATGAGAAAATGCGCTAAAAACACTCAAAACTAAATTAATCATTCAAAAATCGTTCCGCATTTGACTGTTAAATTATGTTATTAATTGATGTAAAAAATCATTCAATTTGCAGCTAGAAGAGCTACAATAAACTAAGAGATTTGTCAACTACGGTATGTGAAGAAATAAAGATTAGTTAACTGCAGGAAAAGGCAGATATTCGTCGGCTGCATTAAGAAATGAAAACTTGACACCTTCATGAAGGAATAAAGAACTTTCAACTGAAGAAACATCGTTAGCTGCATGAAGAAATAAAGATTTTTAAATTAAAAAAAAACATCGTTAGCTGCGTTAAGAAATAGAGATGTGCCAACTGCATTATAAAGAAAAGATTCGTGAACTGTATGGAGACCTGAAGGCTAAAATAAACGAAAATATTCATGAAAAGCATAAAGAAATGTACCTGATGTCAACTTCATGTAAAAGAAAAGATTCGTGAACTGAATGGAGAAGTGAAAGCTAAAATAGACGAAAAGGTTCGTGAAAAGCATAAAGAAATGTACCTGATGTCAACTTCATGTAAAAGAAAAGATTCGTGAACTGAATGGAGAAGTGAAAGCTAAAATAGACGAAAATATTCATCAAAAGCATAAAGAAATGTACCTGATCTATCTTCCACAAATGCTGGTCAGTGCAGCAGCCAGGCTGTGCCAAGAACTCAGTGAAATCTGTGGTCTTGCGTCTGCAGCAGCCCCAGTACTTCATGCCTTCGTGGAACACCGGGCCTCCAGGGTGGTACGTGCACAGCTCCAAGCTGCTGCCTCTGCCTTCGTATGTCTGCACGGTAATAACAATAATTGTATGATTTAGGATACTAAATGACAATAATAGATGACAATAATTGTATGATTTAGGACACTAAATGACAATAATAGAAGACAATAATTGTATGATTTAGGACAATAGATGACAACAATAGATGACAATAATTGTATGATTTTGGATGCCTTAGCCTTCGTAAGTCTGCACGGTGATGATAACAATAATTGTATGATTTAGGACAATAGATGACAGTAATAGATGACAATAATTGTATCATTTAGGCTGCCTCTGCCCTTGTAAGTCTGCATGGTGATGATAACAATAATTGCATGATTTAGGACACTAAATGACAACAATAGATGACAATAATTGTATGATTTAGGATGTCTTATCCCTTATAAGTCTGCACGGTGATGATAACAATAATTGTATGATTTGAGACACTAGATGACAATAATAGATGACAATAATTGTATGATTTAGGCTGCCTCTGCCCTTGTAAGTCTGCACAGTGATGATAACAATAATTGTATGATTTGAGACACTATAAGATGACAATAATAGAAGACAATAATTGCATGATTTAGGCGGCCTTAGCCTTCGTAAGTCTGCATGGTGATGATAACAATAATTACATGATTTAGGCTGCCTCAGCCTTCAAAAGTCTGTGCGAGATAACATTGAAAATAATTAAAGAATTCAAATATTCTTTTTTCGTAAGTCTGTACAGAGATACTAGTGACAAAAATTACCGGAATTATGCTACCTCCACCCTTTTAAGTTGACGCAGTAACAATGATGAAAATAACAGGAATAAAATTTTCTCTGACTTTGTCACTTTGCATTGTCAAAAATAACGGATAAAATTTCCCCCAGCTTACATTTGTGAAGACAGTAACTAAATCAGATATTTCATGAAGCATGTTTATTTACCTAATGAAAACAGCACAGCAACAACAATTCTTATGATAAATTTAAAAGAAAAAGTAAGTTTTACTTTGATTTTCTGAATTTAAATTACAAATAATTAACTGCTCAACATAAATTATGATGCTGCCAACATACAACAGAGAAAATACCAGTTCATGTCAAAAAATGATGATGGTTTTGTCTGGCCTACATTTGGCATTATCACCAATTATCAAAGTTTTGACTCTTTGTAGGTACAATTCACAACTCATATTTTTTGTAAACATGTAATTACTCAGAATACTAAGAAAATTTTACTGGCAAATTATGAGAGTCAACTCACTGCTTTGCATCCATTTCTCTTACAAGTCTCTCCAATTCTGATGCCAGTCTCAGAATCGGTTTCAACTACTTCATTTCCACCTTCATTTTCAGCATTCTTCTGAAGCACCTGAAAGCAAAATATATATTTAAAACACAATTACTTTAGCCTTTTCATTCAGAACTTAAAACTAGAAAGCTGCTCAAATTTTTTGAAGACTGGTCAACAGAATAGTTAACTAAACAACAGAAGTGGCAAGTTGACTGCTGGACATAACAAGAAACAGCTAACAGACTTGAATTAGATTAAGTGGTAAGTTAAAAAAACAAGTTGACTGCTGGACATAACAAGAAACAGCTAACAGACTTGAATTAGATTGAGTGGTAAGTTAAAAAAAATACATGTGACCAGAAGTTTAAAGAATAGAACCAAATAAAATACAAATGGTAATAAAAATCAAATATTTTGAGAAGATGATAATTACTGTATGTTAAAAGCATCACTCTGAAAATTTGTAATTAAATTCAGTCTCTAGCAAGTTATTGGTAATTCTCAACTCATACCGGAATATTTATAGAACATATCAATAATATAAAACCAATAATACAAAATTATAAGATAGGCCATACAAAAAACTTTGAAAACTTACTTGTTTCAATGATGCAGAAATTGTAGGCCTCAAGAGGGTCATCTCAGCATCGAATGATGGCCGCTCTTTTGGTTCTGGTTTTTGGATGGAGGTGGGAGGTGGTAAGTTAACAGGAGCCTCACATTTAGGAGCCTCAACAGGTTTCACAGGATTGTGAGGTCCAGCAGTGCAGCCTGGCATGCTGAGAAATTCAGTGAAATCTTTGCTTCGCTTCTTGCAGCACGACCAGCTCTTATCGGCATCATGGAAAATTGGCTCTCCAGGATGGTGTATGCAGGCATCTGAAGATTTATAACCATTACAAAAATTAGAAGATTAAAACATTGTTTCGACAAATGGGCTCAAACTTTGAACAATAAATAAAGGTATATATATCCTGTGCCCATTCACAAATAATATTTGACAAAAGCACACAGTGTATACTAGTGGAAATTGTTTTTTTTTTTTCAAGATTACAGAACTCACCTTTACTATTTTCATCTAGATTGAATTTTTGGCCACATCCTTTATTATAACACAGAGCCATCTGTTCAGTCATTCTTCAGTATTTTACACAAAATGCACTGTATAAAAAAATGTAATAAAGCTTTAGCTTCTATTGCTGCCAAGTGAAAGTAGAAAAAGATTCAACTAAATTCATTGCAGATCCTCAATATCTAATACATCTTACATCGCTCATGCACATGGCCCACATGGGGAAAGCAAAATAAATCATATCTGTTATAAGACCAGACTGGGAGGTAGAACGGGAGCATATATATTTATATACATATATATACACGCTTTTGCTCTATATATACACATATTAGACTGTCTTAGGAGTAATTTGTGGTGTTTTGATATTTGTTCATCTTAATATTTTTGTAACCAGGCATTATTTCTAACCAATTCTGTTTTTCGAGTGGTAGGTATCTTATTTACATGATTTTGTACTTATGTTGACCCAAATTTTGTCACTCAATGCGCCTTTCAACTTGATAATGAATGATTGGAACACTCAAAATGTCGTTATCAAAATTTAAAATGTCCATACTCGATAGGTATGTACTCCATCGGTACCCTGATTTTTGATTAACCTGTGCAAACAAAAAATATTGTTTGATATGTGGAAAAAACTATTAGCTAAGAAAATCATCAATAAAACAAATTATCTGGTCTTTAATGAAACCTGCCAAAAGGAACAAAATTCAACAAATCCTGCCAATGCATAGGCTGCATAGGCGGAAGATAGGCTCAGGCATGGAATATATCTACTTGCAGTACTTGGCGAGCCACGACTGAATTTTTCGAGCCGTAGTTTTGTGGATTAGCCAGCCGTGATTCCATTTCTTCAAGCCGTGATTCTATTTCACCGAGCCGTGAATTCCATATCTTGGCCATGAAAAGCCATTTACTAGGCACAAATTCATTTAAAAAGTCCATGCCGTGTTACCCCAAATCTCTAATTTTACCCTAAAACAGTCAAACAGCAACAATAAAATTTGTCCGTAAGTTGAGCACTTGTTAATGCAAACTGGCCGCTTTGACATGACTGCAACTATGCACGATCTCCAACAAAACGTTTAGTTGATTTGTTTACATTACGATGTTTATGTTTTTCTGCAGGATATTTTGGTGGGAATGGTAAAGCAATGCGGATTGCAGAAGTTGAAAATTTTATGAAATGACATGTTTGCGAAGTGCAAACCGCAATTTTTCAATCAAACAAAAATTTATGACATTCGAGCCGTGAGATTTCATACCTACTGAAATTATATGATAGGGTAAAAGCGGTATATTCTGTCACATTAAGGACGCATCAAGAAATGAAAAACTATAAAAAAAATAACCGTATGCGTTACTCAAGTTCTGTTTGCTTTATGTGACTCTCAAAACACCGCACTACATGTCAGCAACGACGAAACGTCACAAAATGTTGCCATATTTATTTAAAAGCCTTTAGAATGCAAACCTACCAAATCCCTATATTCCGTCACTGTGTGGCTATATTTGGCATGTGGTAAGGCGTATTCCGTCCGCGCTTCAAATTCTACTGATACGTAATGCCGTCATCCACGTGTTCGAATTCCATTCACTGTGTGAGCTGTATTGGAATACAACACGGCTTTGAATTAGAACACTAATGAATATTGAACACTACTACTTAATTATGCTTTTAATTAACAACTATTAAGCTTTTAATTAAGCAAATTTTAATTTTTGTACACAGCTTGAAACGATCTGTGTGTGTCCAATTCAAGTTGTGACGGAATTAGTTTTCATGTGTCTAAATCCAGCTCTCAACTTAATGATCATCTAGTAATTTATTTACCACTTGAAATCAGCGAATACAAGTATACTTAAGTTAAAGGATTCCTAATATATTCACAGTCTCACAGACGTATTTAAAAGTCTCAAACCATAATATTCTTCCTATACAAACAGTTATTCACTATTTGGTAGAGCAAGGTCAACTGTCAAATTTGACACATTTTCCGATGATCTCACTGGGTAGAGTGCATTGTCTCTCTTTGGATCTCAATATTTTCCCACTAGATGGCCAAGACCTAGTGTTTTGGCAGTAGTTTGACGCGCAAATGTATGACATCACCATGTATATATCAAGTTCTGTTTACATGGAAAACGTTTTCAAATATTTCTAACGCAACGATCGATTAATTCATGTACCATAAAATGGGGTAACTTAGACCACTTTTTTTCTTATAAATGATGCCATTTTCTTACTAGCTAAATTAAACTTGAATTGAAACATGCAAAATACAGGTCTATACTCTAGCTTCACTCACCATAAATTGCTGGCTCCTGCCTCTCATAGTCTTTATGTAATTTAAAAAAAAGTGATGGTCTTTGTTACCCCAGCTCTTGGGGTAACTTAGACCGGGTGGTAAAATCAATTATTTTTTTTTTTGTAAAATAACTCCAAATAACTCCAGGTTTTGGTGCATTGTAGTAGAACTCTTCTAGTTACATATGCAAATGACAAACTTGAGGAAAGTGTCATAGTTTGCAAATGGGGGGGTGCCACCCCATAATGAGGGAAATGTGACGTGACTACCTAATGGCAGCCCTGATGGGGTAATATTGACTGGCTTGGATATTAAGTTAAAATTACCATATATAAGACTTTGTAGAGTATGAAACATAAAGAAAAAACATAAATAGGCTGTCAAACATAAAATATGTTACATATGGTAATTTTATATCAACTTCCAAGCCGGTCTATGTTACCCCTTTGTGTTATGTAGCCTCAGTATTAGGCCTTTAATGCCCATTGACAAAATTTTTCCATGTCAAATAGTTTTTGAGTTGTGGGGGTTTTTGTTAAAAAACGAAAAGTGGTCTAAGTTACCCTGCCGGTCTAAGTTACCCCATTTTACGGTAACTGGTCAGTCTGGTCCTGTCTCATGTCTGGACCATGACTGGAGGTCTCTCACCGTCTCGGACAAATTTACGGCCGGAAAGGTTTTCTTCGTGTTTTTATGGGTTTTTCTAGGTTTTTTTTGTGTTTTTAATGGACCCTGTTCCTAACTGGACCTAACCTGTGAGATTTTCCTTGATTGGCTAGGTTTTTTCTATTTTTGGAGTCCGGCGGCCGCGAGACCGGCCGTAAATTTGTCCGAGATGTCAGGACTGGACCCTAAACTAAAGTTAACTTAACTTCTGGACTAAAGAAAGCCCTTTTAATAGCCAACAAAGTTTGTCGTGGCTTGTTATACATTGCACAAGCTTCATTTGCCTTTTCTGTGCTTCTTTTTAATTTCAAGTATTGCCGATTACTCTAACATATTGGAATGTGCTGCATTGATGTCTTATTTTATTGTCAGGTGCAGCTGACAACGCTGAAAATGAATAAATTCTAATGAATAAATTCGATGCAATCTGCATAGGATAAAGATGAAAATGAAACAAAAATTCTTAGTTTTTGTATTTAAAAATGAGTTTGCCATTCCGAGAACCAAGTCCTCCGTATTTTAGGGAAAGCTTGCGTTTGATTACGCGCAATAGTTATGTATCACAGAAGCGGTCAGACGTCAGTGTTCAGGAGTAAAGAAGGCACGGTGACCGGTGCCTGGTGCGAAGAAATTAAACCATTAATGCATTATATGTGTGGTTTGTTGCATATTAACCCTTTACGCCCTGGCGTGACAAATTCGTCACACCAGGTACTAGCTACCTTTTCCAACAATTTCACGTTTTCTGTAATTTTTTCAAAAAATTCACAGGAATAAAAAAAGTCTTAGATTTATTTTTTACATATGTGTACCAAGTTTCAAAGTTATCTGTCAGTAAATAACTGAAATATAAAATCCAATTTCCAATGGCAATGTCCAATTTCTTATGGAAATTCTATTTCGGTTATTTAACAGATAACTTTGAAACTTGGTATACATATGTAAAAGATAAATTTAAGACTTTTTTGTTTGTAGGAATTTTTCGAAAAAAGTGAAAGAAAACGTGAAATTCCTAGAAATACGTCAAAAAGGGGGTAGGTACTGTAGAAATCTATCTCCTCCTATGATTTTCAAGCTACAACATCGAGATGCATATCATTCGATGCGTAAGGACCATATCTATCGATTGGTCCTTGTTGTTTTTCGAAATTCTAATTTTTGTGGGTGGGGTGGGCATTTTTCAAAAAAAATTATTTCTCTCCCACCCTTTCGAATTTCCCCTACCCTTTTTTCAAAATATTTTCAAAACTTTGATGAAATTGAAAAAAAGCTTTGACCAATCTATAAATCTTTTATTTGCGAATCGAACGGTTTATTACTCATTGCTGTAGCTTAAAAACTCTGGGAGGAAATAGGTTTGCAGTGACAATAACTCATAAGTGTGAATGTTCAGTAGAGCGCGACAAAGTCCCGAGCGCCTCGAAATAGGCATTCAAGGTGACATGGATGCAAGACTAGACATTACTGGAACTGAAATTCAGTCAAGGATAGTGGGAACAACTGCATGAGCACCATCCCACACGACAGCAGCCGGGTAACTAAAGATCAGCGTCTTCGGGTTGCATATTTATGTGCCCAACCAGTAATTTTTGCCTATATTAAATGTGAAAGAACTCCCCCACCCCTAACACTTTCACGAACTGTCGTCAAGGCATAAATCAACGTACAGAGATGATTTTGGTACCATTGGAATGATTGGATTCATAGTGGCAAACCAGAGCTTTTTTAGAATCAGTTCATTTTTAATTTCCTCATTTTCTCATGATTGAAACTAATTTCTCAAGTATGATAATGCTGGTATCCAGGATACTTTACTGGTCTACTTATAGGACTCAGAAATGAACTTGAGGGAGAGTCTAGAAAACTCTCTGCTTTGCCACTATGGATTGGATAGGTCAGAAAGTCAGCTTCAAAGTGAGACTTAAAACCGAAAAAGTGAATTTTATGATTTTTGTCTCAGAAATTCAGGGCGTAAAGGGTTAAGAATCCAATGTACAAAAATTTGAGGTTATCTACTAATCTTCTTATTAACAATGATTTTTTTCGTTGTTAAGTGACCTGTGACCAAACTAGCTACTAAGAAACCTACCGACCATGGCGACCAACGACTGGAAAACCTACCGACCAACGACTGGAAAACCTACCGACCAACGACTGGAAAACCTACCGACCAACGAGTGGCATGTGGATTTTGAACAACCAGATAACCCCTGAGATACTATTACAACGACTCTTAAGGGCCCCATACACCATAGAGTCCGACTCGCGAGTCTAACTCAGCTAACCTCAAAAAAAAAATATATATATGGTGCCAGACGAGCCGAGGTGGGCAAAAACAGGCGAGCCGAGCCAGGGCTTCCACTGCTTGCTGTGGGGCTTGGCTTGAGCTCAGTTGCTATGCAGATGCCAATCTGGTAGGACATATGCAGCGATGGCAGACTCCAGGCTATCCAAAAGCCCCGACTTTTTAACAGAGTTCATAGAAGAGTACCGCAACTTGCCGTATCTTTAGAAGGTTCGTTGCTTGGAATATTCAAACAAATCAAAAAGAGATAAAGCACGGGAACATCTCGTTTGAATTACGCGGGAAAAAGTAGTCAATGCAGACCTAAACTTTATTAAGAAAAAAATGGATAATATTCGAGCATCATTCAGGAAAGAATTAAGAAAGGTTCCTGAAAGCACGCAAAGTGGTGCGTCATCAGATGATACGTACACCCCAACTTTGTGGTGATATTATCTTGGAGAATTTTAGGTCTTTGAAAGATCGTCCGTTGGCTAAAAAAACGTAAGACTAGCAGTTAGCCTCTCCTCCGCTGTTATAGCTTTCCGAAGTACATTGTCTCGTTTTGCTATGAACTTAGTGAAGGGTTTGAATTTTTCCAATTCCAATAGGATATTGAAGTTTCTCTATAGGCCTACATCCTTAAATAGTTTCGATAGTCGATTCGAGCATAGTGGCAAAGCAGAGAGTTTTTTAGACTCTCCCTCAAGTTCATTTTTGAGTCCTATAAGTAGACAAGCAAAGTATCATGGATACCAGCATTATCATACATAAGAAATTGATTTAAATCTTGAGTAAATGAGGAGATTAAAAATGAACTGATTCCAAAAAAATCTCTGGTTTGTCACTATGGATTCGAGTATCGTCGAGAATGAAATTTAGCAAATTTATAAAGCAGAATCTTTGTTGATTGACAAGCCATTCTTTCGACAAAGATTGTTTCCTCCGTTTTTTTTCACTGCCCCAAGCTCACTCAAAACGACGGCAGCAGCGGCAACTTGCCTCGGGCTCGGATGACTCATCTTCACGACTGGTCCGACTGGACGCTGCGAGCCAAGTACGTAGGTGTATGGAGAAATATCGCCAGATCAGATCCGAAAGTCGGAATCAGCTAGCCGGACTCGCTAGTCAGATACGCTAGTGTATGGGGCGCTTTATGCCGCAGTCGCACTATGAAACCGGGGGAGTGCAGTGCAGAATACCGACCACACGCGGACATGCCTACCAAGCTACTACCTTCCGCCGGGAAGCCTGACAAATTTTCAAGCGAATCCGTGAATGCGGAAAAACATTGCGCGTAGTTGAAGAAATGGTTACACTTTTTAATTCCGTATGCAAATTCGCCTTCGACAAGCTTTCTAGTAATGATTATTATTCAAGCATCAAAAGGTATTGAGCTGATTCTTGACGGTGTTTTATTGGTTCCAGAAACATATTCTAAGACAGAAGTAATGGCAGGTGTTCGAAATCATAATAATAATAATAATAATAATAATAATAATAGCGGTTTCAGCGTTCATTAGGCCGTAGGCCTGTCACCGATTCTTAACATCGCAGAACATTCACAGCTTGATGTGGTTTCGAACGCACAACTCACTGCTCCAGTTCTGCTTTGCTTAACCCGCCCGGCCTCCTCGCCGATTCTGACCAGAAACTGACGCACAGAGCTGGGATCGAACCCGTGCCTCTCTGCTCCAATCTCGGTACTTGAACTTTAACCACTGGCCCACCCTGAACTAATACAAGGTTGGCCCACGTGCAGCTGCGTCTTGCGAATGTCATTTGTTATTTTACTAGTGTTGTCACCTTTGTCGTTGTGACGTCAACTGGTGACGTCACCGTGTGATTCAAACTGATTTGTAACACCTGTTTTGCTTAAAATAAGACTAGTTGCAGTAATTAATTTTTTGGGCCATTGTAATGAGGTCAATTTTTTCATGGGTGAACTAATACAAGGTTTTGTCAAGTGCAGCTGCACCTTGCAGATGTCATTTGTTATTTCAACTGTGACGTCACCTTGACTATTGTGACGTCACGTTGGTTCACGTGACGTCACCTCGTGACGTCAAACTGATTATTACCACCGGTTTGGCTTAAAATAAGTCTAGTTGCATGTGTAGCGGATCTCGCTACATAAAACTAAAGTTATGTATATCATATCTTGCTACCTAAAACGAATTTTATGTTCATATTAATATTAATGCTTACCATATTAAGTTTATCACATTAAATAATTATAGAATCGTCATAAGAATAGTTCGAAGAAAGCTCAGTTTAATCGATGGCAACATCTCACTTCTGCCACGCCTTAACATAACATAACATAACATAACATAACATAACATAACATATTGGCGATGAAGTGTAGGCCTGATGTGGCCTGTCGCCGATTCTTTTCCTTTTCGTGCCTTGTTCACAGAAGATCTAAAATCGTGTCAGTTGACCGGATCTTTTCATGACTGACGATAGTTTGAAGTAGCTACTAGACTTCCACCGGGTTAGATATGGTGCTAGGCATTTCAAATCTGAACATATATTTTTCCATAGCTTTATCTAGTCTCTTCTTGAACGCGTTCATACTTGGAGCGCCAACGATGTCATCGGGGAGGCTGTTCCACATGTCGGTGATTCGAAGCGAGAAGAAATTTTGTCGCTCATAGGACTTGCCCTTCAAGCCTGGAATTATCCTTGTTGCACGTCTTTGAACATTCTCTATTAAATTTCTGTCCTTTTCAAGTCTCGGTGACCACACAACGTTCCCAAACTCTAGATTCGGGCGCACGACAGCAACAAACAACTGCTTCATCTTTTCTGCACCTAGGAATTCGTATGAGCGTCTGATTAGCTGTTGTAAGTCAAACTCGAAGCGACTCATTAAGAGCTTTAATCCACAAGAACGCAATATTCTGAAACAAGATAACACTTCTATAGAAAATACAAAGAACGAAATAACTGGATATATTCATACATGAAATGTCACACGTAAAGCGGTAAATAGCTGGATACTTACAGTGAATGAGAATAGCTGTGAACATTGCAAGAGTCGAGCCAGTTCTGCTGATAGTCAATACTTTTCGATCAAAGTAACTTACTGGCATCCACTACGGTACGGAATACTATGTACATATGAAGACTACCCTAGAAACTTCACGACATTAGCCCAAGAAGTTTGTTGGATGTGTTAGCTTGCGTTTCAACATGCTTAGAAAATTTCAGCTCCTTGTCGGCATGAATTCCGAGATCTTTTTCCACACTAGACTTTTCAATCATTACTCTCTCGTTGCAACCAGTCTTCTCATACTGTAATCTTGCTGTTCATTGTTCTTCCCGAGGTGAAGTACTTACACTTGTCAGCATTAAACCGCAGCTGCCACGTATCACTCACGGTATCAGCCCAGTTAACTAAACTGTCAAGATCATCTTGTAATTGCGCTTTATTTGACGCATCCTTCACTGTATTATAAACTTTTGTATCGTCGGCATACATGGAGCACACGCTGGAGACTGCTTCTGGCAAATCGTTTATATAAGCAACGAACAAAATAGGCCCAAGAACGCTTCCTTGTGGCACGCCACTGCGCACTGATGCCCAGTCTATCACGGTTCCGTTAATACTGACACGTTGTCGTCTACCTACTAGAAAATCACTGATCCATTGGAGTACGTTTCCCTCAATTCCCAAAGACTTCACTTTACGCAACAGCCGCTCATGCGGAACACTGTCAAATGCTTTGGCAAAATCGAGGTACAATGCATCCACTGGCTCCCTTTCGTCCAGCAGTCGAGTCCAATTGTTCAACGTAGAGAATAAGTTAGTGGTGCAGGATCTACCGGCAATAAAACCATGCTGACAATCTGATATGAGATGGTGAGCAGTCAAGTGATCGATAATCCTATCCCTCACAACATATTCCATTAGCTTGTCAACAAACAAACTAATGGAATTAACACTTAATGGAATTAACACTTAAAATTAACAAACAACACTTGTCAGACTGACAGGGCGATAGTTGCCGGGGTTGCTTCTGTCACATTTTTAGCGCATTTTCTCATTTATGGAAAAATGCGCTATTGTGCTCGCCATGTCCGTCTGTCTGTCCGTCCGTCCGTGACCTCAAGTTTTCGTCGACGAGAAAATGCGCTCTCTGTCACTCACTGCAGTGAGTACTGAGTTATATATTTGTAATGAACCTCAAAGTCTTGTAGGTTTCAAACAAAGGTTGGCTAGAATGTAGCTTTATTCAACTAAATTATCACCTGAAAAGGGAAGACATACAAAAATTAACACCAGCATGTTCCTAACACTATACACTGAAATTTATAGACAAATTTCACATCAATATTTTTTGATTAATGGTGTTACTTGAGCTTCTTTCCAGTCGGACGGCAAAGTTCCTTCGTTCAAGGTTTTTTGAAAGAATACTGTCAATGGGCCGGCCGGAATGGTTGCTAATTCTTTGAGCAATCTGGGATAGAAGCCGTCTGGTCCACGTGACTTGTTGGGGTTTAGAGCTACCAGGCGCTTGAGAACCTCTTCTTCGTGTATTTCAAAACATGTTAATTTCGAGCCGACTGGGCTCTCCTCAATATCTGGAATACTGTCCAAGTCCTCATTTGTGAACACACTGCTGAAGAACTGATTAAGAACGTTAGCCTTGCCCTCATCAGAGGAAATCTTTCGTTGGTCTACTTTCAAATCAGATATACCGTCCTTTGACTTACACTTCGAACTAACGTACAAAAAGAAGGCTTTCGGATTCTTTTTTGAATTTTTATGAAATTGCCTTGCCATTTCATAGCCTCCTAGAACTGTAGCGTCTTATTTGACTCCGGACATCGAGCAGATATCGTCTCGCGTAAGCTCTCTAATTAGAAACTCTGCCCTTAGAATAGCTCTTATTCAGTGT